ATACACAATATCGCCCACAATACAATTGGCAGAGTGCGCACACGATACAGTGTGCAATACAGATTTACATCGTGTAAAAAACAAACCATACTATCATTTTGCACAATATGTGCTGATATGTGTGTGTGTGTACGTTTTCTGTTGCATTGACTTGCAATAATTTCAATGTTTTAAGGCAAGGTCGTTTCGATGCGGTAGAAACATCACTTTTTGAACTCGGCAGAGTATGATGCGCGCTCACGCACATCAAATATATGCGCATATGAACACGAAAAAAAAAAACAACGGAAAAGAAAATCAACCAAATGTAATGCATGAATCAGACAAATGAAACACGAATAAATCCATGGCATCAAAGAGCGAACGAGATCTGAATTGCAAACTGTGTGGATATGATCGTCATAATTCGAACTCAATTTCGTATTTATTCAGGTGATGTATGAGTTATTCACGGCATCAAATATCCATAAACAATAAATAAATTGTTTCATTTCATTGTTTTCCATTTCGCCGTTGCTGTTGTGTTCATCTCCCAACGGTGTATATGTTTCGTTTGCCTATCGTTTGCATTTCTTTTTCGTTTCTTCACGTCACTCTCACCCAGGTGAATCATTAAACACCAGCTTTTACGGTCGTTCGCTCCAATCTTCACGCAAATCATCAAGATCATTGCAGAACTAAACTGAGACAATAATATGTGTCTCGGCTGTGTACTTTGGATTCAAAATTATTATAGACTTCTCTCTCTCTCTCTCTCTCTGTTTTCCTATAAATATATGTGTGTATAACAGCTTGTATAAATGGCGAAAAAGAAAAGAGCACATCGTGTCAAACATAGAAAAAAAGAAGAATTGAATGGCTTGAGGAAAAATTGCAATGCATCCAAATCAAATCATCGTGCATCGCGGAAAAATGTGCTGAATTGTAGAGAACAAAAAAAGCACATACAAACACACACAACCAACACAATATGGTAAGCAGGCACACAAAGATGCACACGAACCAGGAAAACTAGTAGACAATGTGGAAAATAATCAAGCGCATAGCGCTTCAAGTGAAAATTCTCAACAAAATCAAACTCTTAATAAAATACCAAGTGATTTTGTACTCAGACAGAGTTCACGAATTTCAAACAAATTTCAAAAGCAATGCATGCAGAGTGTACACAAATTAAAATGAAATGAAATGAAACAAAAAGAAAAAAAGAAAAATAAAGGAAGGTGAAATGAAATAGAAACAAAAGCAAATAAAAAAAACGTTGTTGTTGCCAATTTCCATTTCCACGCTAAATCACTCGAGGGAGTATAGTTTCGATTTGATTTCGCGTACCGTTTTAATTGCCCAAACTGTTCTTGGTGCAGCAGCAGCTATCGCTTTTCTTTAGCCGTGCCAATTGTAAATTGCAAGTGAATTTGACTTGCACATTTATGCCTAGAAATTGATGGCATATCATTAATCTAGAGCGCTTTTGCTTTCCCATTGTACAACAACAAATTTCACTTGGAAATTTAACTACACAATTTTTGTTTCTCTTTCTCTTCATAAAACACGATATGTTATTGTACAGACAATGTGGTGTACATGTATCGCGAGACCAAGACGCAGATCCATTTCACAGTTCTGGGTGATATAATTATAATTTCTGGATTTCATTTCACTGTCGTACCACACCAAACCGCTAGTTTCCAACATCATTTCTCTCTCGCTGTTTCTTTTTTTTTGTACATTGGTGAATGATGATAAATGCGGTTTTATGCTAAACTTCTACTTTCTTCCATCAAATTCATCCATTTAATTCTGTACGGTGTGAATTCTCTTTCATTACTTTGGTTGGTCGCTGTTTTTGAGTTTCATAATGGCCGCAAATCATCTCGTTTATCATAGGCATTTATTTTGTTGTAAATGTTGACTGAATCGGACCATGTCGTGTTCTACTACTATGACACCGATAAAACAAAAGAAAAGAGGTACACAAGGGAGAGGCAAACGCTTGTTTTCTCTCCTCATCTCGAATAATTTATTACGAGATAATTATTACTGCACGTTTCAATGATGACAATACTTCACTAAGCACATCAATCGTTTGATCTTATTCCATTTGGGCTAATGGGCGGCGCACATGTGAATTTCATTTTTTTTGTCGATCATCCGCTGAATTCAACGGATATGAATTACCATCATTCGTCTTGTGTATGGATGATTTTTCATTCCAATAAAAATAAAAGCAATATGAAATAAACTTCCTTTCCTTTGGGGTGGAGGCCGGACATTTACATTCTTTTCCGTTTACACCATGTAAAAATGCATCCAAACGACAGTTGATGCCGAATATTTAAATATCGGTTGAAACGTAATTTCGAAATACAATTTATCGATAATTGAAGAAAATATGTCTATCAACATGTCTTGTTTCCGTCTAAAAATTTTTGGTGGTAATTGATGTCAAGGCATAGGAAATCCGCATCTTGATCAATTTTTCATAATTTTGACAACGAAAATATTAAACACCGCAACAACGACACAAGTGATCGTATCGCGGTTTTTCCCCATCAATTTTAATATATTCACTTGCGTAATGCACATTTGAAAATCAGTGGTCATTTGGTTCAATGGTCATCGCTGTGAAACCATCTCTTTTTTTCGACAACACAGCACAAAAATAAAATGAAATCTCGTCAAAACTCTTCATATATGCATTGTATGTGAATGTGTGACAAACCGGCTCATTATATTTTAAATTAATGGTGACATTCTACTGCGACATAATATGTGACTTTGTTACAAGTAGAAGAAAATAAAAAAAATAAAACGAAGACGAAACTACACCGCATTCGCGCTGATTTCAATTGTTTGCCAGAGAGTTGTAATGCAATATGTGAGAAAAGAGTTGAAATCAGATTCACCTTCAACTGCTGCAATACACGGTTGATTGTCATTTCAAAGCGAACGGAAAATCTCGGTTGCAAAATAGATGAGCTGCGGCCGGGCAATTGAGAAGGCATTTATGGAGGCGCTTGACCACATTCATGGCTGTACAGTAAAATGATAGTGTTGAAATGCCAAAATTTCACACCAAATGAAAAGGTCATCTCTCTTGCTTTCTGTGTGTCTTATGCGTGCTTCAGATGTTTCATTTCAACTCGCCCACATCATTCAAATGGAAAACGCAATTTTTTATGTTTCACACACGGGCGTATTGTCATCATTTGGTTTTTTTTCATTGACTTTCTCATGAGTGTCTATGGCCATACGGCTGTAATTTCATAAATTAAATTATAATTGGATCAAATTAACTTTTCTCCTGGGTTTTCAAGGGGCTTTGTTTACTTTTTCGGATACTATATTGGCTATCATTTCGAGACAGTAAGTAATTAATTGCGCATAAGCGAACAAAAAATAAAACAATAAACCAAACACACGTGAAATTTTCATTTTTTAAAATAATAAAATCATTTTCAACAAGAAAGAAATGCTATTCGCCATCACATTGTAAAATAAATGTGAATATTAATGAGCCATCGTGCATATAAACACCGCCCAACTACAATATATACTTTTCGAGATCGGGTTTATATGACAGTTTTCTCAATTGATTCAACGATGATGAAAATATTCCATAGAAAATTAACGAATCATCATTTTCTTCTTTTTCATGATCGCATCAAAGCAATTTTCGTTCATCGCATCGTATACTCGATGATCAACAGTGAATTTTAATGGAAAAAGCACAAACCATCAATGAGAAAGGTTCAAGAAGTAATCGCCACCAAGTTCAACCTACCGAACAGTAGTTATCAAAAAGTAACAACGGAAATTATGTAAAATATTTCATGTTGTTCTGTTTGGCAAATTGATCCGAAACCCTTGCAACCGATGCGAATCTTACGTGTTTCGGTGGAATTTTTCTTTTGCATTTTGTGTGCGATAGTGTTGTTTTTCGTTCGCGTTCACTCCGCTTTTATTGTTATTGTTATTGTGTTGTTTATGAAGCTCATTGAATCTTGTTTCAAAACTATTTCGGTTGTGTTTTTTGATGTTGTTTCTCGTTATGTAGAAGGCGAAAGGCGCATATCGTCATCATTTTACTTTTTTTTATTCACTCTCTCATCGCCTGAAAGGTGCGCATTTTGGTGGAAATAATCCAATTTCTTATTCTGTATTATTTTGTATTTGATGAATTTTCGATCTTTGAAAGAATTTTCAGCAATAAGTGCATGTCGGCGAGAGTGTATTTCAAATTCCGCTGCAACAAATGGAGACAAACAATAGGCCTGACACACTAATCTCCATGAATCTCACTCGCAAACAATCGTTTGTATATGTATGTATGGCTTGTGATTTGTAGTCTCTTGTGTACATTTGCCAGAAATGAGAAGATGTAGTTCATGCACGCAATCGTCAATTCGAATTTCCAATTTCGCGCGCGGCGCTATTTTATTGAATCAGACTCGGTACACATTTTCTGTGTGAGCACTCTCTCACTCTGTGTGTTCGTGTACTCATGGTTCGATTTAGTTGCGTTTTTTTTCGTTTTTCTTTGCTCGTTCACTCGATTTTTTCATTCTTTTTTTTTCTCCACAATTTCGTTTTCTTTCTCTATCTCTCATATCGTCTTTTTGGACTATTGTACGATGAAAAAAAAGAGTTTCACATTCAATTCGGCTCATTCAAACATTGTTTTATTTTTCTTTCTTTCTGTTATTTTTTCGGGGTTTCTGCCTTATGGTTACGCGACGCATGTCTTTTGTTTTGGAGGAATTTCTGTTTCAATGTACTTTCGTATAGAAAGAAACAAACCGAAAATAATAAAATAAAGCATATACAAATTGCTACATCGATTTAACGAATGCGATTGAATTAGTCAAGCCCAACCAATAAAATACGATTTTTGAGTTCACCGGAATTTCTTTTCCAAGTTTACACTCAATCAAACACTGAATGGCCAAAGAACTTACAAACAAAAAAAAACATAACAATAATAGTAAAAAAAGTTATATTACCCAATATCAATTCCAAGCGATGACAAATAACTCAATTAATCCAATACAGTCCGGTGTACATTTAACGATTTTCTGAACTAATTTTTTTTATATAATCCTTATATATCCGATGCCAAGGAAAAATTCAATCAATGTCTTTTCCATTAATAAATTTTCGTTTCTTTTTCACTTATATCCACTTAAAAGCTTCGAAAAAAATCACATAAAATCACAACGACAAAAAAAAAAAATGCACATGATTTTGCGGAAAGCTTATTATTCTTGGTGTATTTATCTAACAGCTATTGAGACTTTATGTTTTCTTTTTGATTGAAATCAATTCGCAAAGATGTCTTTAAAACATTTTACAAATAAACGAATAAAAACATTAAAATATCGAAAATGTTATCCTAGGTACTGTTTTATTTTTTATAAACGATTGCTCACAAAATGAAGAAAAACCAAAATTTGATGTTGACTTAGATGACAATCCAGACAAATCTAAATACAATACACCACGGTAAAGCGCTAAACAGCGAATGAATAATTATGCATTTGCTGCTTTATTTTTGAGGCAGAAGACAGACTACGATATCGGCGAAAGAAAATTCACAACAAGCGAACACACATACATACAAACAGTCGTACGCGCATTCGCATTCGAGTTTGCGTACATATACAAGCGTGCATTCTTCATTTTGTCGCTCACACACGCTCACAAGTACGAAGCGACGCACGCGAGACAGCTCTGTCTTAAGCGAAATTGATATTGAAAGGTGAATGCGTTTAAGTGATGTATAGACTGGACAGAAAATAAATTTCAAAATCATACTTCATCAAATAAACATATTACGAGAAATGGTAGTGGGCCAGCCTAATCCAGTGTGTCTGTATATGTGATTAAGTTCATTCCTGGTGTGAGACGGTATAAATGTATTGTATGAGAGATGATCGCGACCTTCTTGAGTAAAAGCTCGTAATTGAAAGAGAAGAAGACGTCGAATGAATTTGATTTTTATAACGTTTAACGAAAGCGAAACACATTCATATCGATGTGTATATTTCTGGATATATTTTTTGGTCACGCTAACAAACGTCTGCCGTAGAAAGGTGTTCGCAATAGCGTATTGTTGCAATGAATCGTGGTCGTCGTCGATGGCACATACAATTCAATTAGATCGTATTTTGCCGTCGTTTATCGAATCACATAACAATCGAAAAAGAAAATCGATTCGATTACAACTAAGCTAATGAATTGTTGGTAAACGCGTGCATGCACTTACCGCTTACTGTTCACTTTTACTCGTCTCGACTCGTTTACCGAATGGATGCATTTGGAAGCGTGGATTTTCATAAATTCACATTAATCTCATATTATTTCTCTCAATCGCTGCTTCAGTGGAAGATATATGATTCACGGAAGTTGTTAAGGGGTTAAATGTCGCCAAGCATTGGCAAATTCGATTGTATGTATTTTCTTGGAGTCAATCACTTACATGGAATTTTATCGGCTTAGGGAATCTATCCGGAAAGAGAGAGAGAGAGAGAGAGAGAGAGAGAGAGAGAGAGAGAGAGAGAGCTTGTTTTCGAAGCAATTCGGAAGTATTTGTCATCGTGCATATTTTTACGCCAATCAACCAGATATGGATGGAACAATGACTGACGTCAATTGGTTTCGGATTTTGATGGATCGTATTGTGGGTAAATAATAAAATGGTTTAACCGGCCCGCATCAATGCATTCTCTTCGATATAATTATCTTGGTTCAATTAAAGCTGCCACTGAAATTGGTTCAACTTATGTTTGTGAGTGTGTAATCATTGTTCGAATATTATCTTTGTTTCATATTGTTTTTTTTTTATTTCATTTTATGGTCGTTGTTTTCCATTTTCTCCTCTTATTGTTTTGTTGCCTTCGTGCATTTCGTTGTCGTCGTCGACCGAAAATTGGCTGACAAAATTATGATAAAACACTTTTTATGTGTCTTTTTTTTGTGGTCGTCGACATAAAAATATATTATTGTTGTTGTTTCGATTGGGAAATTCCAGCATATGACTTCGACAACTGTGTAAATGACATACATCAGAATGTGGATTGCAATTGCGTACCATGTTCACCTTGTCAAGGTAACTCAATTATGGCGATGCGCCCGCCAACAAGCGCACACGCAGAAAACGCACATATTTACACACACAAACGAAACCAACGAACGATCGAACAAAATTTATATATGCATGAATACAAAAAAAAGGTAAAAGAATTTCGGCATTCGAAATGAGATCCGCATCTTGCGTAATATTTTATGGGATTTGATTTTTGTATGTACCATCATTTATTTCATACGATTCTATGTATTCTGTTTTATTACAATTGGTTGGTTATATGGTGGTCGCTGTAAGTACTTGTTACTTGCCGCGCTGCGTGCATCTCAATGGTTTTTTTTTTTGTTACAGTGTCGCACCTTGAATGCTTTTTCTGTTGCTTTGAAGCAATTATCATCGTATATTTTATATGCAATATGATGAAATTGAGCGAATTTCAATTGTTCTTCGTCAATCCGTCAAACAATCATATTTCACACGTACATTGATGATACGACCATTGACAGGCAACCAAACATACAAAAAATGCCTAAAAACAACAAATCGGTAATTGTTATGGAGTGTAAATGAGGGTCAGTTTCGTGTTGTGTTGCAAATGAAATTCGTAAACATGGCAATAAGAAGAAGAAAAAAAATAATGCGAGTGTTAATTAAATTGCGACAATTCACATGAATCTAAGCTTGCTAGTTGTTTGTTATCGACCGAAATGATACAAAAATCGGTCGATTCCATTACGGCGACCAACTAATTAAAATTAGACCAATTTTACAACTCACACAATTTTTTGTTGTCGGTGTTCGTAGCACGAACGAAAATAAAAGATTCCATTCACAAAGTAGACAACAAAACAAAAACAACAACTTGTGACAACAATCATAAAATGGGTGTGTGTGTGTGTGTGTGTGTGTTTTTTTTTTGTATGACTACCGTTTCTTTTTCTATGCAATAATTTATCTATTTTAAAGTCTATCACGGAGTGTTTAATGGTTGACGGTTGATTTCCATAGACGAAGAATGTTTTCCTTTATGCTGTATCTCTTACTCTCTCTCTCTCTCCTGCTCGCTCAGAAATAGCTGTCGAGTCACGCGAAATGTCGACATTTCCATGTACACATATCGATCATATCAAATACCATAGCGATTGGGAAAATCGGATGACTACAAAACGACGACAATTCAAAGAAAAATACAAAAATCATCATTCACATAAAGTTTGAAACGCTCGAAGGTTTTTTGACTTTAACATTTGGACATAATGTTTACACAGCGCGCCAATCATCAAAATACCGCCTGTGGCTGCATTGCATACAACAACAATCAACTGATTTGTGCGATAAAACATGGCTACAACAGCAGCAATCAAGAAAAATTATGTAAGAAAGAAAGTGGTATTAAATTGGCGTTTAAAGCTTGTAACATAATCTGTGTTGGCTGGTTTGCTGGTTATTTCGGGCTTATACACCAAAAATTAACAGAGAAAGAAAGACAGAAAGAAAAAAAAAACCGATTGCTTCTTGTTGTGTGAATGTACGCGATGGATGAAAAGAAGAAAAAAAATCAAATCACCATGAGCAAGAGAAAGAAAATAAGGAAAGTAGCGACCAAAGATGCAAGAGTTTGCATTTAACCCTCGTATGCTTGGATTGTGTTTGGCTCCGATATAATGAGAGAATTTGCTCTCTGAATTATATTAATCTGACAAACAATCATTTGAATTAAAATCGAAAGAAACTTTTAAAATTTGATGTGCCAATGTCACGAAAATAACGAAAATTTTTGATCTCATAAACACAAGGGATAACATCGCAACAATGAAATTGATCAAATAAGATGAAATAATCTCCCATTTTCACTTCAAATCCATGACAACCGAATAGCTCTCGATATTGTGAGTCATTAGAGAGTGAAAAGTTCAATGAAGAACTATTCGCAATCGGAGACCATTGAATGAAATGCCGAATGTTTTGGGGTTTTTTTTAATCCGAAAGGATCGTAAATCGTTATTTGTGATGAATTTATTCACATGATTGGCGCGTGCACAATTCCATCCGGTATCAATCATAATTTCTTTCTTACTTCTTTCACCTTATTCATGCGTAATATGTATGCACATCCAAATTAAGAAAAGATTGAGAAATGCATCCCAAATCAAGCAAGTTCAATAATATTCGTACTCATGCGATGATGATGACGATCGCTTTTTTTTTCTTGTTGATCGGGTTTGAATGTTCGACCACTTTCTTAAATGCAAACATTGTTGTATATCTCTCATGCTCTCTCTCTCTATTTCTTTCTTTCGCTCACTCGCACTCGTTTTTATCTTGTGTATATAACAAATGTGAAAGAGTTCACTGTGACACACCGTAACTTGATACATACTATCGATCACTTTCACTAGGCATGCATTTCTATATATTAAAGGTGTTTTCGCGCGCTTCAAAGTTTCAACAGTGAACGAATAGAGCGAGTGAGCGAGCGAGTGACAAAGCGTCATACATAAAGAGAGCAAAAGCGTTGAAATGAAGAAAAAAAAACGACAAAAATATCCCTCAGTCAAGTTAACGTAACTGGTTGTGCATTAAATTTATATATATTGTGTGCAAGCATTCGTTTGCGTGCTGATTTTTTTTATTGAGAGGAGAGCGATTGATGTCGCTCGTTGAGCATACAATTGCGTACGAGCGCACAATCATATACTTACAAAAGTTTTATTTTGAACACATAAAAAATCGGCTACCGAAATTTTAACTGGCAAATGGCTAAATTAGTTGCAATAAATGCAAACAAATGGTCCATTTGAAATGGGCCTATGTCTTTATTACCGAAAACTGTACAATATTTTACGTCGAATTCCGGTTGTAAATATGTATAAATAGCGAGGGATAGAGAGAGAAGATGAAAAATGTCTAAACAAAGCAAAAAATCGAAATGATACGGTTTTGATCAAATCGTCGATATTTTTCTCACTCTTCATAATGAGCAAAAAAACAAAATTATTAATAATAATAACGGTTATGAAAATAAAAAAACGAAAACAAAACAATGACTGCATTGAAAGTGGTTGAAGTTGTTTAATATTGAATCAATGTTAACAGAAAAAAGGTAAATTTTAAGTTCCCAAGCCGATACAATAGTAGTAAAATTGGCCGTTGCTTTTTCAACGATCAACGATTGACGTTACAGTGATTTTTTTGTTTGTTTTTGTTTTTATTTCCATGATCGGTACATTGTAAATCAAATCTTACAAAGAACTAAACATCAAATACGTATATGAAATGTATAGCAATTGATTTTTCTATTTCGCATCGAGCTGATTTTCGATGTGTATTGTGTATTTTGCACGCGTACTTCGACACGGTTTAGATTTTGATCATCATCACTATCTTTTGCTGTTTTTCTTCACTGGCTTTTGGTATTGCATTTCTATTGAGCTTCTCGCTATCTTCGGTTTCAGCAATGCAATTTTAAGGAAAGTATAAATGTGCATTTAGGAATGTGTTAACCACACTTACGACCGAAAGCAAAGCGTATGCAATCGAACAAGTGCGCGTGCGCTCATACTTTGTGCGCCTACTTTTTCTCTCTTTATGTTGTTTTTATTTTCTCGAGTTGAATGACTCTTCTTTGTACATATTATGAAAGCATTTGGTGTGCAAAACGGGCTTCTCATTTGGAAGTGTGTGTTTTTCTTCTTCTTTTAGTGTGTGAGTGTGTATTTCATTAAAACATTGCCATTGGCATCATACGTTGTGGTTGCAATTGCTGCTGAACTATTATCAAACAAATTAGATAATTAAGAGGATAAGGTTGCAGTGTGCACGACACAAGCGATGGTGACAACGCTGCCTCATTACTTACTCTTTCTTTCTCTCTCTCTCTCTGACTCTCTGGTTTGTATATTCATGGTCAATGGTGAACCCGTGAACTCAGTGAATCAAAAGCCATTTCTCATGCACTTTGGAACATTGGGCTTTATTATTATTTTCTTTTAATTTTCTTTAATTTTAATATGCATACTTTTTATATATTTAAACTTTATATGGTTTTCCATTTAGATATATTTCACGGAAAAAACTACTACTACATAATTCAACTTACAAACTAAAATTATAGAATGAAAAGTCAATGATAATGTGCGCACTCTTGGCATATTTAAGCCGCGCACTCACTTTTAAGACTTTTCGATATGACAATCGATTTCTTCTTTCTCTGGTTTTTTTCTTTATCTTTCATTTCTTTGTTTCTTTCCATAATTTCTAACACTGAATAAAACATTCATAGGTTTTATATATATATACTTCTTTTAATCTGGAGAAAAGGGGAAAAGTTTGTATTATAATAGCTGTTCTGGAGGATTTCACTTAAATGTTTTTTTCTTTTCTTGTTTCATTCGTTTCCTTCATTGAAACATTCGTAACATTTCTTTTATTGTAATTACACAGCATTTTGATTTGGGCTTATGTACAGATTAAATTTTTTTTTTGCAGCCTAATGATGAACGCATATTTTAACTTTTCAAATTTCATTTCACTTAAATTTATACTTTCAAACGTGGATTACAATATTACACGCATATCGGAGGGAGCGGAAGAAGAAAATAAAACTAGAAAACTTAAATCTAATTACGGAGAAGAAAAAAAAACTAATAATCAACAGACACACAAATTTTTCTCACTTTTTCTTACTATACGAATGCATTTGTAAATTGTTTTTGAATAGTTAATCGATGGCCACATTTTTTGCAAATTGGTATAACATTGTCATTTTCAACGCTTTCTGTTCGAATGTTTGGAATTTGTTGTTTGTCATCATCAATATTACCGCTGCTGTCATCATCGTTGGTGTAATTTTTAACTTTTGTATGCGGACATTTGACGATGTTCTTTGGTTGCGTATCAATCGAATCATTTCGAATATTAGTTTGTGATGTGGTGGAATGAGCGACATCATCAGTATCAATATTAAAATTTTCATCAGAAAATGATGATTCATCAAATGAATGTTTAATTCGAGCGCCCATTTCATCGCAAATACGTATTTTAAGCTTTGGCAATAATGTGATATCACGTCCACTGCTACCGCTATAGTATTGTAAATTTTGCTGCGAACCTGACCATTCATCGCTGCTTTCTGCATCATTTTCCATTGAACCATATTCATCGATATCTGGCATTGCTTTACGTCGAATCTCATAATGTGACAATGAATATTTGCGATGTTTTGTTGATGTGGCCACTTCAAAACCACGATTATAAAATGCATACCGAATATGTGGATCAGATTGTCGCTTTTCGGATAAGCGATTCGTTGTTTGTAAACGATTTTCAAATGAATTTTGTTTATCATATATGGTTGAACCGCCATCAACACGACGTGGCGGCAAATATGGTCGAGCCGGTCGAATTTTTTCACTAAACGATTTATTTGCACTCAATCGTAGATCATTACAAATGTGACGATTTAATGCACCATTTGCATTGGTATGGCGTTTTGCTTGTGATGATTCTTTGTTTGGAAATAAATCATTTTGGTGCGATGATGTTGATGATGGTGGTGGGCTGGTTGTTTGAACTATTGTAAATTGTATGGTATTGATTGGCGTTGAGTCTTCATTGCTTGATGTTGATAGCGATGGACTGATGTCATAGCCGCTGATTTTATGCGGCATCTCTTGATGTCATAATCGATCATATTTTACTCGTGTTTTTGTCATTGTTGGCGGTGATGATGACTCTTCAACGGTATCTTCATCGGCACTAGCCTCAGAAACTAACAAAAAAGAAACTTCATTGAATATTATCAGTTTAGATTTGAAACCATCACTGTGTTACACAAACACATATGAAAAGCCATTTTAAAGAAATCAAAGCACATTAACTACAGCACGGTACATATCTACTTAAAAACCAAAAAACAAAATATAAAGAAAGAAATAAACCATAAAAATTAAATTCGATTCAAATCAAATCAGTTGCCAATCATTTTGATAATGGTGTCAATGAAAATTAACGAAACAAAATAAAAGTAACAACATTATTTTCCTTTGCATTTGTGCTGGACCAAGTATAACACTCGGGACGAGAGACACAGGCACACACATATAGAACACTGTACAAATGAAGTTCACGAACAACATCTAAATTTTGGCCAAGATGATTCTCTACAATACCTTCCCTTCGTACCTTCCCACGTTTCTTCGCCATCTTCCGTTATCGCATGATTTTTACTGCCCGAATCTCGTCCATCCAAACCATGAAACACTAAATCCATTCGAGAGTCTAACGAAAATTGCTTACCTATTTGGACACATCAATATGGTAACAGACAGTGCAGTGACAAATGAAAGAAGAAAGAAAAACCATTCATGTTATTCGATGGCAAAGCATTGCAAATCGAAACGTTTTAGCTTTTCACCCACAGATGGAGATACGCACACATATAAAGCATCGAAATTAAATTTAAGTATTTATGGAGCTGCCCAATCATTTTTAATGACTTTTTTTTTGTGTCACGATACGAATTTTATTCAATTTTCAAATAAAATCATGAATTTATTACCTGACATCAAAATTCCTCGAACACGTCGACGCATCGCCGGCGAATTTTGACTCTGATATCGAAGAGGAAACAATTTGCAAAAGCAAAAGAGAAAATGAAGGAAATATTCGCATAAATGAAATATGTAGCATGTATTAAAATGGGAATATAATCAAATTAAAAATAGAAATTCGGGATAATATCAAACAAAAAAGTGTGTGGTATCGAGTGAAATGATCACCGCTATTCGAATGCCAGCATAAGTTTTTGCCAGAAATTCATCAGCATCAAAAATTGCGGCAAACGATCCGTTCACAATTTTCGGTGACATTGGTGAGTTTGCAAGTAATAAGCTTGAGCCGAAAGCTTCGTTCTTTTCCCGGGTGTCTAGAAAAAAAGAAACATTATGAACAAATGTATGCCATGAAACACTATTAATCGATTGTCTATAACATTTCGACTATTTATCGACAAATGATGTATGATTCAATTTTGATGACGAAAATATCATTACAAAGAATTTTGAATTTTGTCATTTTTTTCATTCGTTTTTTTTAGCAGTGTAAGGTAAAAGCAAAGATCACATAGCAAAGTTTTAACTCTAGACTTTTAAAAATATGAAAAGCTTTTGAAGTAGCTTTTACAATGTATCGCTTTCAAAAACAAGATTTCAATTTGATTCAATTACAAGCCATTTCAGCCAGTAGCTAGAATTGTTTGTTTCTAAAAGTTTATTTTTTGAAAAATCATCTTTCTAAAAGTTTGCTTTTTGCAATCTCGCTACAAACTAAGCGAATTTAGTGACCATTCGATGAATTGCAAAAAAAACACCTTTAAGATGAACGCGAGCACGATCGGTGATGTGGATGTTGAGTTCTTCCAGTAGTTCGGTTGAAACTTTCCGAATTTCGGCCCAATCCTTAAGCAAATCATCGTTAGAGGTGTGCGTTGATGTAACGGTAAATCTGTCCGAAAATAAAATTATATTTTAGATGATGAAAAAAAAGAGAAAACCCGAACGGTAGCGAAATAAACGAAAAAAAAAATGAAAATCACTCAAACATTTCATACCGAATAACATATTTGCCTTTAAGTGAAGCCGGTACACAGTGTAAGTTACCGCGATGATTCAAACGCTTGAGCAAACGTTCCGTTAGATCGTTTTCACCTTTGATCCGGAATACAACCATGCCTAATATTGGTGCAAGCACCACCACAACGACAACCATTTTTTTTCGGCGATTATTTAATTTTCATTGAAATGGAAATGTATATGTGCCGAAAAGAGAGAAAAAGAGAAATACCACGAGGTTAGAGTGCATATATGCGGTCATCAACCGTTAAATAAAAAGAGAAACAAATAAATTTATATCAAAAAAAGTTAAAAGTTATTTTCAATTTACATAATCCGAAAATCCGCATTTCGGTTTTTAATTATGTATATAAAGTCTTTTTTGTTCGTGCTACATGGAGATAAGTGATCCATGATTTTGTTGATTGCTATCAATCAGTGTTTGTTTTTCTCTCTTTCTCTTTATTTCGTTTTCAATTGATTGGGATTGAAAAAAAAAATAACCACAATAATTCGTATACATACCCAAATGTCTTGGTGCTGGAATCTCGAATCGGTTATCGGCCAGAACAAGAGCTTCAAATTTTTGCGCTAGTCGAACGCCCTGCAAATAAATGAATGAATCAAAACAAATTGACGCAGAACAAAAGAAAAATGAATCGTGAAACAACAAACACATCAAACAAACGAATATCAGAATAGTACATGTGGACTAATGGTTTGAATAAGAGCATCATTATTATTTTCGCTTACCTCGCGTATATGCTTTTGCAGACCTTTTATGCCATAATTTCGCAAGACAAACCACAATTTCAATGCACGAAATTTTTTACTCAACGGAATTTGCCAGTGCTAAAGCAAACATTTAATAAACGTTTTGACCAGAGTATGTAGTGTTGTTGTTGTTGATTTTTGTTTTCATTTCAGTTGCAAGCGATGCCGTTGAATGAATACAGCGTTTCAGAGTACAGAGAATTAAAAAAAATCATAAACAATTGTTATCTTTCCGTATGAATCACATTAAAATGTTCGATGAACAAGCGGTAGATTTGTTTTGTGCATTAAACTCAAGTAATTTACCATGTAATCGATAGCCAGTCCTGTTTAATATAAACAATAAATACACACAAACACAGAATTTAATCAGTTAGAACATGAACGGTAGGTTTTATATTCTCTTTCTCCGTCTGAATTCGAGAGAGATTCAGGCTTGGAGAGTGAAAGAAAACCAATTTTTAATGTATTACAAACCAACCTGAATTTTCGTGCTGCAAATAGAGCGGCTCAACATTAAATGTTCTGTGCAATGCGCAACTGTTCTTCACCCTGCAAAATAAATAATAACTTATGATGTTAACGCCGATATTTTTGAGATTAATGCACTCTTTCGATCACTTTTCATTGGTTGTAGGCCAAAATTACGTATTCTCCAGCTGACGAAAAAATGTTCACAAAATTCAACAAAAGCAAAATTATGCAAAATCTATACTATTGTAGTTTTGCATTTTAAAGAAGAAGAATACTAGTTATGAATACATATATGCGTCCTGTCAGAAATGAAGATCAGCTTGCGAAAATCTTTCAGAAAGAAAGACAAAATGTGAGTGAGTTACTGCTACGTTTGAGATTTTGGACCATAATCTAATATTTTCAGTTTCGTTTTGCTCAAGGGATCAGACATTTTTTTATTCAATATTTTCACATTTTTATTCCTTTGCTATGCTTACATTACGTTGAAACTTCGAAGTTTTGAATTTCATATTCTGAACATTATTTTATTTATTTCACGTCTTCGCCGGGCCTATCATTGTGTTTCATTTGAAAAACCATTAGTACGAGATAAGACTTTATTATATTCACTAAAACATTGTAATTGTTTGTGATTATATTAAAAAAGAACCTCAAATATCGGGATTCCCCATTACGTGAATTCTTTACGATTTGTTGTTTTAACATTGTCGAGTTCGAGCGATAAAAAGCTGACGTGATTAGCTTAACTCACGATGCTAATAAATATTAAAATCTAGAAATCACGAGCACACAACCATGCATAATGGTATATAAGCTTGAACATCGGTGACAAATCATTATTCGCAATCACAAAGTTGAATAGTGAAGAGACATTTTTTGAAGTGAAATACAGAACGAGAATAGAGAAAATGGTTGTTAAATTTGGATTTGTTTTGGCTCTTGCACTGACTATATTCATAGTTGCTGACGGTGAGTGATTTCAATGAAATTAGTTGTAGAGCTGCTTCATTTTGCAATCTAATCAAATTATTTATTGTTTTATTTTTATTTATTATTTTTCAGCTGCAACACCACCACTACGTTCGTGCAGAAACACAAGATGCCCAGAAAATCAAGTTTGTACATATTGTGGCGAACAGCCCTGCAATACGTATACTTGTGATAATCCAAATGGATTCAAGTGCCAGAACTGCAATCAAAACCACATTTGCGTCTGCATTGAAGGCTATGCCCGCGTAAATAGATCCAGCCCATGCGAACCATTGAAATGCAATGAATAAACAGCAATTAAAAAAACCAATATATCGAAAATGAGGTTGAACTAAATATTTAAAGGGGATTTCAGAACAAAATTCTTAATTGAAAATCTAAATATATAAAAAAATTATTTTTTGACTAGATTGGATTTTTTTTTTTTGAAATAACTTTACATAAAAAATATTTTGTTTGGACTACAGTCGGAATGCTATCAAAATATATACAATTACACGAAGAATGAATTCTATATATGAAATTTATTAGTTTTATTGTCTACCAAAAAAAGCCGACATCATTCAATAGAATTCTCTCAAAAACTCGTAATAACATCGAATTCAAATGAGCGAGTGATAACGAGGAGAAATTTGAATGGCGATCATTTGAGCATATAAGTTTTTTTCGACACTTTTATATACGTTTCAACCACTCGTTTATCAAAGTTAAGATTTAGAAGAGAAAAAAAACAATGCCAAAGATGCAAAAACCTGTTTAACACCATCACTTTATCGCCACATCAGCCATTTGACCCGTTTGCATTTTGCGCAAGAAACACAAAAAAAAATCCAATGCAATTCACAACGATCCATGTGCAATTGCATTTGATATGCAGTCAACCATCATTTAAACATACTCTCTCTTAGCATACGATTGTATACATATTGCCAACATCGATAAACACCGCTAAATGGCCATATGAAATAATTTAACGGGATCTGATATGAAAAATTTCATGCATTTAATTCATACAAGACTATCGTTTTATTTTATCGCCAGTTCGCTCTACCAACAGCTTAACAGTTTATTTCATTATCAAATTAGAGAATGCGAACTCTTTTTCTCCCTCTCTCTCTCTCTCTCTCTCTCTCTCTCTCTCTCTCTCTTTCTCTCTTTCTCTATCTCTCTGATTAATCGAAGGAAATCGGAATCAGTTTCAATTAATCAGCATCGATATGTAAAGCGCAGAAAAATCTTGCAAAATGTAACTGATTTTCTAAGTATTCGCATCAAAATTAATAGAATGTGATTCAGAATGAATACAGTTTTATATCATTTCTCCCCGTTTAAATTTTATCGCCTATTTTGAATAACACAACACAATGAAAAAAAGCACTCACATCGAAGAAAGTCTTCATTGAAATCACCGTATGGTGGTTAAACAGTCTAACAGATGTTTTATTACAAAAAAAAATCTGAATCGAATCATAGATGATGACTATTGAAAAACCGCAACTCCCTAATGTTTGTAATGTTAATTAAAAGCTTTTCACATTACCATATGGTAGCTACTGCTACCGCTTTTGCAGCTGCAAAATCAACAGAAATGCAAATTACAAAGCCATTCTTCAATCAATTAACTCAAAGTGGCTTTGAAACGCAATCATATTCATACACATTGAAGTAAGTTTAACAATGAAAAAAAAATATGATCTGTTCCATTCTGTTGTTTCTGTCTTCTTGCTGGAATCTATGCAAATTATGTTGATTCGTTTGCTTTGAGAATATAATATATTATAAAATACCTCAGCACTTCAATCTTTCGCTATTTTCTTTTGGGTATTTGCGCTATTTACAAAGTCTACAATGGAATTTATCGCTATGTGATTCATAAAGAGTGAGTAAAAGAGAGATAAAGAGAGAGATAGCTTCACGGATCATTTGAGGATATAATTTTGAGTTTATTTTTCTAATAGAAGTGAATTGTGGAGTAGAGACGTTAGTTCCGAGCGAAATACTAAACAAATAATATTAGTATAATTCGATAATTATCAATACAGTTATTTAATTGAAAACAAATGAAAAAGAAAAAAACGATGTTTTTTTAGAAGGAATCAAACTGAGAAAGAGAGAAAAATAGCCTTTCATTTCGTTCTAAAGCGCACTTAATTTCGTCCAACAAGTCCTCTCGACATCTTGTATTCGATGCGAAATACTGAACAAGATTGACTTTGAGCAGGTACAGAATAAAATGACGTATATCAATAAAGATACACACTCCATTTACATACATATTGGTTGTGAAGAAAATAAGAATGTGGTCAAGAATGGCTTGGATTGGCGTGATGCTGCTGGTTTTAACAGTCAATATGTGTATATGAGAAAAGACCAACAACGATGCACGCTATGTACCGTTAAACATATTGCCAAGATGAGCGCTCGCGCGCTTATTTCGTTCTCGATGAACACGAATAACAACGACGTTTTACAATGTGTGTATATTTTTCTTTGCGCACTGATAAGAGGCCATAATAATAACAAAAAATCACGTACGGACAGTATAGAGCATGTTGTTATGAAGATCAATGATTCTATCATATTGGCGCACAGTTGTGTAAATCGGCGTATTGTGTATATTTCTTTGTTTGGATTTCGTTCTTCATATTTATTGGCAAAGTCTTTCTCTCTGTTTCGGCTTGTTTTACTTCATTTATCTTCCTTATTAAATTTAATTGAATCGTATGCGGTAATAAAAACCAACGCTCTCCCAAGCAAAAATATGCAGGCACATCGTAAGCATGCGTGAAAAGTTCGAAGATTTAAATTTGAATCATTTTTTTTTCGATTTTTATTTTTTTTTGAAGAATATTACGAAAAAATATTGTTAAAAAAATGTCGGGCCAATCATTTGAATGACCATTTGTTATGGCAGCTTGGATATTTTGCTCGCTTAACGAAACGAAATCTCCACTCCTTTGAATTTATGCAGTGAGAAGAGGTTGATACGTAGGCCGAAAGATAATTCGCTTGAAAAAAAAAAAACGTTGTTACTCGCCATTGGCTGTTCTTGTTTCGAAAAACGAATTGTTCCTGTAAGCTTGTTAATAAACTCTCTATCTACCTACACTGCATCTCCGATCATTTGATTATTTCTGAAATTCGAATCGACGTGTTGACTGTTCAGTATTTTGAAATCTCGTATCTCGTAAATACAATTTGAATTTTTTTTTAAATCCAAAGTTTTAATTCTTTAACTGTTTTACAACTTTTCGAATATTTTACACACCTCTTCGATTTTGACGTTTTGTTAATTTTTAAAAAAAAAAAAAAAAAAAATGGCGGACCTTAAATTATATTGAAGGAAGTTCAAGTAAAATTTCGAAAAAGTCAATCGTACGGTATGCCTTGCCAATCGAGAGAACCAAGTACTAAATCATTAATAATCATGAATCATATTGAAATTTAAGTGTGTTTTCTTACCACATGGCCGTGCAATCGAAATGTACCATAAGCCATTTTGATGGGTTGAATGCAATCGAATCGGCTTTTTCGATGCCTTTCAACCAAATGCGATATTCTGGACAAATGAATGCACTTCCAGCATATGCAGCATCAACATGTAACCAAATTTTGTGCTCCATACAAATATCACCAATCTTAACATATCGTTTACGCATTACGATTTTTTGTTGTTCAGTTGTTGTTGTTGTTTCGTGTGTCCGAAGCAGAACCAGAATTTTAACGCACCAGGACGTGATACGGGATGACGGGAAAAACGTGTATCGCCGAAAAAAAAATTGAGAACGAAAAAAGAGAAGAGAAAAAAACACAACGAATCAAAAACATACATACTGAAACTGTATAAATACATTTTCATTTTGGGGTATAAGAATCTGCATTTTAACGGTACTCTTAATGATGATTTCGAATATTTGGATGTTTTTCGTGTGGTACCTTGAAATGTTATGTTTTTGTACTGTTGATAATGATAATGCGAATATATTTAAGTCCAATATTACCTCATTCAGGTTGTCGAATGCACAAGCACCAGTGGTCCCAAGTGTTGCACACACCTAAAAAGACGCCAACAATAACAAAAAAAAAAGAAAAAAATATTCTTTTCAACAACAGCAAAAGAATGTTAACCATTACAAACAGTGTTTAAAGTTTATTTAAAATAATTTATCGAAAATTGCAACCATATTGGGGCTTCATTACATGTAAATGACACTGTTTAAACTGTACAAGAAATTGAACCATAAACGAAAAACGCGCGCACACCGGAAGATTTGCGTCATATGAAGCGCGCGTCTTGATCAGCTCTCTTTCTTCTTTATTCTTCTCGTGAGTTTTTTTTTTGTTGGTTTTCACACTTCTGCACTTTTCAACATTCAAGTACACTTCAATCGCCAATTCATTGACCATAAATGAATTCACAAATTAACCGTTTGAATAAATTACATCTCAGGCCGAGATTCTCTCGAAAGTGCGCATTTCAACTTCAAATACTTCAATTATATGCAATTACCTAAATCGATGAAAGAATTCGCAAAGAGCTGGGATTTGCGCTTTTCTACAGGAATTTCGTATTAATTATTGCATTCATATATCATTAAATCAAAATAAGTGCTTGATGATGGTCGGTATTGTGGCGGCGCATACAACTCAAAATCCAACCAATTCAGCAAATCTCTTTCATACGTTGAAACTCTTTCTTTCTCTCTCTCTCTCTTTCTCAATATTTCTCTTTCTCTTGCTGGCGTGTTTACACTTGCTTTTTTCTTTGTGTGTGTGTGTGTGTCAATTCTGAGAAAAAGAATATGCGTTTGAAACATTGATTGTTAAAGTGCAAAGCAAAAGAAAGAGGTGGCTCTGAAATATGAAAAGTCATTGAAATGAATGATTTTCCTTTATTTTTCTTTACATTCCGTTCAAATGCTTATTACTTTTATTTTGCATAACAAAAGTCGATTTTTATTTGGTGTTTGACTCGGCTATGAAATTTGGTTGTTTTTCTTTTATTCTCTCTCCTACATCTGGACGTGGCGCATTTTAGTGCGCAAAACAAACAAAAAATTGTGAAATATTACAGAGAGAATATACAGTTGTTTAATTATTCGAAGGGAAGCACAGCACGTAAAATTATTTCACCAGTGGTTTGCACTGATAAATCGTGAAGAAAAAAATATAATAAAAGAAAGAGGGAGAGCGATCGAAAAAAAATCCAGCAGTGAAACAAGTGAATTATTAACCAATTATGAGAATCGAGGTATTGTGCGAGTTAATGCATGTCTCTTATACATATATATTTTTGTTCGTATTCTAAAATAAACGCATGCTCTTGATAAATCGATGCCTTCGTACAGAATAAATAATTTCTTCGTTCTCTCTATTAAAAACCATTAAAAATCCATTTTCATTTCCGTGTGTAATCGTTTTTACCGCGTGCTTGGTGTTCACAACTTAGCTCACCAGTCAGTTAAGAATTAAATAACTACTACAGAGACTTTGGTTGTTAATCGTTATCAATTTAAAAAAAAAGTGTTGTACATTAATCCAAAACAATGCGAATGACAACAACGACAATGTTCTTGAAATGATTTGCTAATGGGCACCGTTTTTTCGTTAATTATTTCTAAAGCACTTTTGAATATCAAAGTCCAGAGAATGCAGAATTGAATTGCTCGAAATAATCTATCCGTGTATTATTTACAATGCGGTTGTTTTATTTTCATTCGGATCAAATAATCACAATCCTTGTGCTAGTGTTTCAAATCAACCGCGCGCACATAAACACAGCATTCATTAAAAGTAATAATAAAATATAGACGCGTGCGCATATAAATTGTATCTGTGTCTTTGGCATATATATATAGTTTTCAAAGCAACAATCTATAAATGTTCTGTGTATATTTCGCCACACAAAACCATCAAATAAAACACAGATAAAAAGAAACAATATTGGAAAACAGTGTGCTTTGTTTTGAGATAGAACGCGCCCATGGCGCGCAAATTCATTAGAACACTAGTTCCGGCAGAAACACAACAACAACCACAAATAATAATAATAATGATAATACAGTTGCTTGGGAAAATATTGAGGAGCGCGCATACCACCTTTTATGATATGCCAATAAAAAACACACCATTGAACTGTTAGTTGGAAAACACACAATATATGCCCAATACAATGTGTGTTCATTATTCGTCGAACGCATAACGATAAATTTTCTCATTTGGTTTTTTTTTTCATTTTCCTCTCATTCTCGATTCAAAATCCAAAAGAGATTTAGCCGCTTTGTCTAAAAACAACAAATAACTAATTATTATTCATTTCTATCATGTCGCCATTCGAACTCTCTTATTCGATATTAATTAACTCTCGTGGGAATATGCATGAAAATAGCTGTGTGCGCGTATTTGTGTGCAAAATTCAATTCACTGAGAGCGAAGCGACAGAGCGGAGTGTGAGAGAGAATACATCCCAAACAAAAATACAGTTGCATATGCTTGAGTTGAAACTATAGGAAAAAAAGGGCACACAGACAACCGAACGAAAGAAGGAGACGATTTATGGCATAACCGTAATGGAGCTGGTGAAAACAACAACAAAAAAATGATGTAAACGAAGAAGACAAAATTTAAATCACATCCTGATACTGATACAACCATACACTTAACAAGAGTATAAGCGAGACCGTAGAGTCCAGAAAGTATTTTTAAGTTGGTTAGTAAACAAGAATAGAGAAAATAAATCGGATTTGTCAACTGCCGCCACAAGAAATGTTCAACTGAATGAACGTAACGAATGGCACTGATACAAAAAGAGCCACAGCTCTTTGCGCAAAAAAAATGAATAAATAAAAAAAGGCAGCAGCAACACCAATCGACCAAGAAAACGAAATAAGAGAATGAGGAAAAGAAAAGCACACGAGGAGTGAAACGAAAACCGATTTTCTTGCCTTTCATAAATAGCAAAATCAATAATCAGTACATCTATCGTGTAATACAAAGTCGTAAGCATAAATTGCAGCGCCGGTTTAAATGGTATGTTAATAAAATGAAGGGAGAACGAAGAAAAGAATTTACGGTGATGTGACACCTAGTGTGCGTTGATGCATAATCTATATTACTTGGAATGAGTGAAGCGAAAAAACCGAATACAAGAATGAGGGGGGGGAGAGAGAGAGACAGTGAGCGAACGCAAACTCACTCTCTACGCCCAAACGGACACATGTGGCCACAATTTTAATGCCATCTTGTCAACATGGGAACTGAGTAATAGGACCACATGGAACCGTCAAACGCTTACTCAATCTCCGTTGTGGCTCGACGAACGAGCTCGCGTACAGGCGAACCGATAAAGTGTAGTCAGTAAATCAGTAGGTAAGAAATGCGAAAGGTATGATAATTCTAATGTGCTTCTCTCAATTGTCGATGTGAGAATGAAAACGATGACGATGAAAACATATTGACAACGGCGGCTACGACGGAAAATAGAAAATCCACCAATCCCATGGAATTTTGCTGAAACTGTCGGTTTTTCTTTTCTTTTGTTTTTCATAGATAAATCAAATCGAAATAAAATTGAGTGCAGAATGTGGGCGCGTGTACAAAAAAAATGCAAAAATTCAATTGCATGGCATCTTCATACACGTTCATTCAACGCGTTGGATAAAAATGAGTTAATTAGATTAAAGCTTAGAATAATTAATGGTATTACGAACAGAATCGGCTTAAATTACAACAAAATCCATTTGTTTTTTTTCGCTTTTGTTCGTTGCATTTTTTTGGTCATTGGTATGCACTCGTATTTTGTTCAAATCAGACAAATGCGACCAATTTCGTTTGACACACAGTTTGGGCGTACAGTTGTGTGGTAAGTTTTTTTTTTGATGTTTACTCTTACCCAAAATGGAATTAAGCCAAGTTTTATATCATCTTTAATGGCCTCTTCGAGTGCGGCTCCACGTAATGCCAGATTTTCGTCCGATTCAATAAATCGCATTCGCACTAAACCTATAAATTGCATTAAAATTAATGGCCAAAGTAAACAACAACAATAAAAACGATAATAAATTACCAGTTATTCGAAGAACAAAAAAGAACTTGATTTAATTTTTTTTTTTCATGTACTCACCAATCAAAGCAGCCTTTTCAACGCTCGAATGTGCTTGATCCGAACAATAAGCCACGAGACGTGCATTTATTTCCGAATCCTGTAAGCCGGGTGTTCGTTCATGAAAGCGTCGTATCGCCTGAGTTCGACCGGCCAATAAACAAACTAATGTCGATTCCGATGATGTTGTTTGAATAACGCCGCCACCTTTACTTTTGCCACCGGTATGCAAAAAATCATCGGGCAAACCAATCATTTTTCCTAGCCAATTCATTACGATGGTCTCAAGCTCTGTACAAGCCGGTGATGATGCCTGTGGCCGAATGATAAAACAATATCAAATTCAAAACATCAAATGGTTGAGATTGAATCAAAGGGGAAAAAATGAGATGTTTTACCCATGTGAATCCAAGGCAATTGATGGCATCGGCCAACATATCGCCGAGCAACGATGGTCCGGAATTTAATGCTGGAAAATATGCGTGCATATGTGGACTTTGCCAGTGTGTTATACCTGGCATTATAACCCGTTCAATGTCCTCAAAGATTCGATGCCATTCCTCGCCTTCAATCGGTGCTGATTCGGGCAATAGATTTCGCATGTAACCCGGCTGTACATTTGGAAAAACACGACGATCTCGAATATTTTCCAAATAATCAGCTATATAATCGACCATTTCTTTGCCTATTCGTTTGTTTTATTCCATAGAATTTGAATTAAGATTAAAAACAATGTTCAATGTCTAATGCAATAACAACAAAAATGTAAATGAAATTATCTATATTAAATAAAATACGATTTGTTAATTGTTAGCTGTGAATACAGTGGAAGTTGCAGCCAAACCGAATTATAAGGATATTCTTTTAGCGTAATTTGTGCATACACAATTTGTAAACGATGAACACTCCCATCAACACAGACACCCATATCGATGCGTGTGAAGTAAATTCAATTTGTGCTTGTGTTCTCGTTGTGTTTGTGAATGAATTTTCTTTAAATTGGATAAAAAAAAAACCATAAAATGGATCAACACTTTTGTATTGTCGGTATGCAAAATGCCTGATTTAAGGGGATTTTGCACGGTTTTGTTGCACGATAATATTTAAATGTGTAATCGACGATGACAAAGAATAAAAAGAGAAATAACGATTTTATTTTGCTAAACTAGTATCCATGCCATAGTTTATTATTATCATCCGGTCTGTTATTTCTTTTCACTGTACGCTTTTCAATATACACAGATGAGCATTTCGTCTGCCACCTACTTGCTAGTGCTAAATTATCTGAATAAATATCCACACTAGAAATTGCTGTGACAACGATATATGTAAGATTTACCATTTGCATTTACACAACCCTGAGGCAACTGTCAGCCCAACAAATATACACACTTACTCAATCCACATTCGTATAATAGTGTAATAAAAATGAGCCATCGTGAGCGTGAATGCGAAAAGACTGCGATGAGGCAAAAGCAGTTATAAAATTTATATGTCTTTATTTGCGCGTGGCAATTTCATTTGCCACTGCATTTGCCGTATTTGTATAAAACGAATTTGCAACTAAATATCCATTAACCCGAACTTTGAAATGAGATGGACAAATGAAATTTCCGTTGCTGTTGCTGTTAGTTCTTTTCTTTATTTATTTTTTCTTGCGTACTGTATTCATTCTTCTGATGAGAATAAATGGTGAAAAGGATGGTGTCTTTTTTGGATTTTGCAATTGAACATTTCATCGAATGGAGCAAATTGGTAAAATACATGCGAGAATATTTGATATTTTTTGCTGTGTTTTGCGTGGGTTGATTTGGGTTTCAAATCGTAAACGAATGCGGAAGAAATGGTTATCTTTGGTGATTTCTTCAATGTTTTCTTTTCATTATCGTCTCTTTGTTTGGTGTACTATTGTCGTAATTGAGCTGCATTTGAATATTGCATAAAAATAAATCGTTTAGTAAATTGAATGCATATTCACGGCACGACGCCACATCGGAACAATGCGTTTGGTCTATTGGATATTTAATGGCACAATAAAATTAGTAGTGTATTTTTCCAAAGAGGCGAAGAGGAGGTGGTTGTTTAAACAACAATTTGAATTCACACTCAATTCACAAGAAATGGAAGGCGCGCGCATACACCATTTATGCAAATATTTTATTTATTAATTTTTTGGTTTGCATGTGTCGCGGTTGTAAATTAAATAGAAGATGATAGCAAAATCTACGTGCAAATCGATTGCTTGATCAAATTTCACAGCTCGTAAAAATGTTTACGATTTTCAACCTGTAGCTCAGTTAAAATGACTGACATCGATAAAATTGCATTCACGCACACGGACAGAGAGATAGACGCTGATTTACAAAAGAAATGGTTGTCCATACTTGACTCTCAATATACAAAAAAAAAAATCGCATCATTTTGGAATAACTAATATTTCTTGTTTTTCTTCTCTCACAATGCTGTTCTTTGTTTTCAATCATCGACACAAACTAATATATTTTAACGCAATAAATATTACAAACAGACAACCGAACCCATAATCTCCGATGTACCGATCATCATAAATTCATGTTTACGCATTTGTAGTACGAGCAAATAACTGGAAAAAAGATGAAAGACGGAACACCGTTCGACGAAGAATACAGACAGTCACTTACACACACAAACACACGATCCATCTGAATGGAGTGGAAATGTGGTGAGCGAATGAGAGACAGAGACACTGAACGATTATATTCGGTTCGATTGATAATGGAATGGAAAATCACGCGATCGCACATCATCTTCCGAGAAGTTACGATAAAAAAATAAAAATAAAACCAAAACAAAAAAACCAACTATATGCCTGTAACGACAACGTCGAACTGTTTTGTAATTTTATACACTGACATAAATCGACGAATAACTTGTTCTAACCTGCCCAAGATTGGCCGAATGAGCCAAATCCTCAATAAACATTGAATGTGTGCAGAATATTGCAATCGCATCCAACATAAGAAAAAAAAAACAATCAACAAACGAAAGATATCTCAAGCAGCTAACAAAAAGCTAATAAGTAATAATATAGCTCTTACCATGTTTTCTGTATTCATCGAAGTTCATTTTTAATGCAGGCACGATTTGAACGTTTATTTGGTGTGATTGCGGTCTCTGTGTCTTTCTACGCCGTTTTATTATCGATGAGTTGGTCGATTGGTCGGCCTCTCCGTCTCTATCTTATGTCTCTCTAATATCTTTCGATTATGATTGAATCTCGATCTCTATTGCTGTTATAATCTATCTGCTGTTGTTGTTGTTGTTGTTGTTTTTGTTGCAATTCCTTTAATATGATAACCGATCTCCAGAGCTTTTGCTAGCTCACGCACGCACAATCCTCTTCACAGGTTCAACACAGATTGTAATGCATAGATAAAGTTAAAAAAAAAACACACACACAAATTCAATGACAAAAAAGCATATAGAAATAGCACTAAATAGTGTCGATATGGCAAAAATGTTTACGCATACACACAGTCCTGTCTACTGCCGCACGGCAACTTGTGATTTTTGCCGTCTACACTCACTTCGATCGTGGGTTACGGTGCCGTGCGGAAATATCTTCCAAATATAGTGGACCGATATAGTATAGATATCGACACTATTTAGTGCTATTTCTATATGTTATGGACATACTGCAAAAAAAATAGTCAAAAATTTCCGTACAACTGAATTAATTACAACTGTATTCGAATGGAATCAAAGCAAACCATCAGATCATCACGATTCACACACAATCACTTAATTTGAAATGCGCAATCTCTGATAAGATAAACCAATCTAAATATGGCCAATAAATGTATACTTCTATTTTATTATGTGAAATGTCTGTACACTTTTGCCGTTGCGTATTCGCCGTTGCGAATTAACAATAAATTGAATACACTTGACACATTGTCTGATAACATTGCTAAGAAAATGGATGTGAATTCCATGCAAATGTCATATTTTCTCCCTGGGCGTGATGATAAAATAACAACCATAAAACCAATCTTCGAATAATAATAAAAAGAAGGATATTTTCTTTGAAATCGTTTCGAAATGATAATTTCCATACGTATGATTGGTACAGAGATTTTTCAATGCACATAGAGAGAAAACTCTGTTGCACTTATTCACTTTATGTTTCACCGTCGTATTTCCATAACTGGTGCACATTTGCCATTTCCAGTTGGTCAAAATGCTTCGAACCAATTCAAAATGAGTATAATATGTAAAACACGAGATCGATATTCTTATGTGCGCACTCATATGGCTTGAACAAACCATGACAACAACCAAAAGGTGAAATTATGCAATTTTACTCATTTTACTTCGCGCAATCTCAGTTTATCTTTTTCATTTTGAATGCCATCCCATTGATTTTTTTTGTTTGTTTTTAATTGGTCAACGGATGAGACATCTGTTTCTTTTTTTATCGCAATGTAAAGCAATTGTTTGACACATTTTCTCGTAATGCTGGTGACATTGCTAAAAATAACAAAAATGAATGATTTCTAATCTCTTCCATATACATTGCATTTAATATTCTGAAAACCAAACACTTTTTTATGAAAAAAGAGAAGCCTGTATACGTACGGCAAAACTTGATGCATTTTTTTCATTATTCAGTTTTGCACTAAGTGTAAGAAAAAATCGATTCGAATTCAATTCGAAAAACTCAATGCTATTCTTTTTTCGCTTTAATTCGTATGCCAGATTTTGATCATCGCTGAGTTCTATTTTCAACGTTACGCTTTGTCCAGAGCATCGAAAATCAGTTTAAAGAGAATTAGAGAGAGAGAGATATTTGGAGTCAAAGACTTTTGAAATGTGCTTATAGGCGGTGAACAGATATTGTTTGATATTTTGGGCAGACAGTGAACTCACTTCACAAAAGTTCAATAACATTATAGACATATTGTATGCTAATTTAAATAAATCATAAATTCCAATTTTACTATATACACACAGAAACTTTATCACATGGTCGTGGACTTGTATGAGCAAAAAATTGCTGCTAAATACAACTACTTGACGTGATTCATATTATTTAGCTTTCATCATTTGTTAGAACAGATTGCATCATTTGAATGGTTAATACTTGAAAAAATGACAACACTGACTTCGCATATTCTGCTATATTTGCATTTCGTTCCATTTCTCTCTTCACTCATTTAAAGAAGAATTTTATAATCAATTGAAATAGGATGATTCGTCAAAAATTTGCTTATTCACCCACATAAATATTATAAAATAAAAGACATAAATTGATAGTAAGGAAAGAAAAACTTTTCAAACTTATTGGGCAAAGCAAATGATATTTGCAATGAAAAACTAGGGAAATGAGAAATGTCTAAAAATGTTAGTCGGATGCGCACATCAAAGCAAACTCAAATCGTAATTGACGAACATATTTTGATGCATAACAAATAAATAGATGCTTTTTTCAATGTGATAAATAAATTATACAATGAAGAAATTCACTGCATTCTTTAAATATCTCATGGAAGCTATTTTTAATCTCAATTTTTATCTTATCTAAATTAACCAATTACTAAAATATAACGATTTTGTGTGTGTATTCTGAAAAATGTGTGTCATTCTCTTAAATTTTACATTTTGAAGAGCTAATGAGTCTTCTCGGTCTGATATTTGAACTTTTGATAGATTTTAAATGTTTATCTGTGTAGATTTATTGAAATTAAGATAATTGTAACTAGCCACATTCGTTACAATCTAACGCAAAAATAATAACACACAAAAAATCCTAGGGGGGAGACACCAAGAATAAATTCCGAATCCACTATATAAATTACTAATCCGGCTATTCCACTAATCCAAAAACACAAAAGTGGAATCGAAACTTTTTTTCCTATTCCATGCACTGTTTCCGTCAAAAATGTTAATTCTGCTATTCCACACTATTCCACACTATTCCACTAATCCATCAATAAACGTCAAAAGAAATGTCAAATGGATTTGAAGTGAAATAATTTTTGCTATTCCATGCACTGTTTCACTATTCCACGCGAATCCATTCACATACGTTGCTATTTCATTGAAATTTCTCGAATCTTTAGACTAAAAGTCTAATCCTATTCCACGTGTCTACCCCCTAGAAAAAATCAAGTACAAGTGCGTAATCTCGACATCAAAAACAATAACTACGGTATGATAAAAGAAATAATCTCTTGATATTTGGCACAGTAATTGTATCCACGTGAATTCAATTGAAAAACATTTTAAAACGGATTATACTTCGTAAGAGCACACACATTTCTGTTAAATGAAAATCGTTTGGTGTTTCAGTATACTTTCTTTCAAATAATATAATAAGTTAATTTTTGTCGATAAGTTGTAAGTTGTAATCAATGGAAAATTTGGTGTTAAAATGGAGACGTCCGGAAACGATTGAATTTCCAAAAGTTTGGCATACATTCAAAGTTCGCGATATGGATACTGATAAGCTGGTAGAATATCGAATTCAAGATTTACCATCAGATCGAACCGAAGAAATACTTGAACATTTGGTGGCTAATTTCATTCAAGACGCACCCGTTCTTCAAGCATTTGGTATATCATTTCATTTGGTCTTTCATTGTTCAATGTTCAATTTAAAACTTTTCACACAATTTCAAAAGAGGGTGCAAAAGATCCGAACCTTATCGAAGACTACAAATTGATGTGGCGAAAAATGATTGATCAAAATGTGTCGCTTGTATGTTTCAAAGAGGACTCAAATGAAATTGTTGGCGCAAATGTACTATTTGTGATTAAAAAAGATGATGAAGACTTTATGCAAATGTGCTGTAGAAATGTAAGTTAGTTGACTTTAATTGTCATTGAATATTTCAACGCGTATTTTTTCAGCATAAAAGCCAAATAACAAAAGATGTATCTGATTTAATATTGATTGTGGAGAAAAATTTCGATGTATTCAATCATTACGGAATCAATGAGTACTTAACAAGCTATGGACTATGCGTTGATCGAAAGTTTCGAGGAAGAAACATTGGAGTACATTTTCTCGAAACAAGGTGGAGTCATCATAAGGTTTGGGAACATTTTATTTTATTTAATTTTATTCATTTTACCACTTTTACAGGAAGAAACTATGCAAAGAGTACGGATTGAAGTTAACTCACTCCACTTTTTCGTCCACTTTTTCGAGTAAAATTGCAGATAATGTTGGTTTCGAAACGAATTTCGCTATGAAGTAAATATGAAAAAATGTGTCTCATCACAATCACATTTGGAATAATATTAAATATAGCAATAAGAGCTAACGCTTCCAATTCAAATAAAAATGAAAAAAGAAAATATTTTTTTTTCGTTTTAGATTTGAAGATATCATAAAAACCCATCCGAGATTTGGTCATTTAAAAAACATCAAGAGTAGCGAAATTGCTTTGAAATCGTTGGTGTGCTAAGTGTTCCAAAGTAATTTGCCATCGGAAATTGATAAACAAAAAAAAAATCGGATTTTAATGGGGTCACTTTTGTGGTGGCCCTTTTTCATTTATTTTATTCAACTATTCTTTGGAAATGTATAAATAAAAAAAAAACTTGTTCTTTAAATTTTCATGCTAAAAAGGTGTTTCTTGGAAGAAAAAGGTCAAACTTACTCTTGTTCTTAAATTTGAATTGCACGTTTCACTTCACAAACAAAATGATGAAATAAGCGTTCATTTGATTTTCGTATATTTTCAAATTTTAATCCAAGTCAATTATTTTAAAATCGAAGTGATCAAATGTAATTAAATGGAAATGATTTGAAAATGAAAAGCGAATTTAATACACAAAATAATTGAAAATTGAATAGTTTGTATGAAATAGAGAGAGAAAGAGAGACGGAGCTGTTAAGCGAAAAAAAATGTATTCAAACACACGCTGAAAACTGAACAAATGAAACTGTATGATTTTCTCAATGCAAACGTCCTTTATATATGTTCGCTGTTTGCGTACAGAGGGTGTGAGTGAAATGCTTGCATTATTTTCATTATATTTTGTCATTGTGTATCCGTTTTATTACATGGAAAATAAAGTACTCGTCTTAAAATAAAAGCAATGGAAAATTCTAACTCACACATCAAGAATTGAAAGTATTACTCCGTTCGTCATCGTTGTTCCTTTTTTTGTTTTTTCCCGTTATCAATTTGATGACGTTATTGAACCGCCCCATTGTTAAATTTTCTTAAGCGTATCAGTTGTCCAATCCACAGTTACACTAGATACGATTACATGCGCAGTTGTGCGGTGGCAATTTGTGTCAGCAAGTCAACGAAGAATCCTTTGCTCCTTGTCCATCCATTCCATGTTGTGAGGTTCGTTGCTAATCACAGCTCATATTTGCTGTGATGTAGCGTCGCTGCTGAAATCTTTCGTTTTGTCTCATCGACACCATGTGTGCGTCAATGAAGCATCATTTCAATAAACCATGTCCATAATCATATACCATTTTGTTTCTTATTTTAGAGCAATCTTTACTGAGCAATAATACAGAATAAATTTTGCATCTTCGTTCGGGAACATTAATCCGTTACCAATCTCCATGCAACACTTTTCAAAACAAGATGAACAAAATAAAACAAGAAATTGAATGGATGAGAATGAAAGCGAGACTTCTAATTTAAACAAAGATGTTTTGGTATTAAAATTTGAAAAATGTCTTACTTGCAATTTGATTTTTTTAGATCCCGAAAAAATCGGTGTTTCTGAAACGGAATTAACTTTGATGCTACAGTTTAATAAAATCGTGCGGAAGTCTCCCTTTGATTCTCGGACATTCAATATTTTATATGCAAAATTATTCATTCCCACAAATGTTGCATGATGCGGATCATGCCGAACGAATGAAAAGCAGTGTTAAAATTGGTAAAAAATTCATTATTTTATTTGTGTGAGCTGAAATTCGATACATATATTTTCCATGAATAAAAGAATGATGAATTTGCGTTAAATGTCCTTATGTCACTGAAGCAGCAACAGCAGCACATTACAAAAAAAACAACAACAGAATTACCAGAAACCGAAACGAATAACGTGAATCAATGAGCGTTTCAATCTGTGGCTGTGTAATGCAATATACATTCAGCGATTTAATCCGATGAATGAATGGAATTGTGTTAACTGTAAAGAGAGAAATAAATATGCAACAAATTCAAGACTAGAAGGCAGCTCCTGGTTTTTCTTTCTTTCTTTTATTCTTAATCTGCAAATGAAGAAAAACAGAAACAAACAAAAAAATTCCATGAATTTAGCGAATTATTCGCTGCAATGGATTCTTATCGCTGCTGCAATCGCGTTAAAAATAACCCAACAAACTGGTGATTTTTTTGTGCATCTTGTAGTTAAAATAATTCGAGGTAGGCAATTCATCAGAATTCCATTCGGACTAAGATTCGGTGTCAAAAAAAATGTCGCATTTCGTTTTCACGTTTCATTTATCTTAATTCCAATGTTTTCATTGAAACGGACACCAAACATCCAAACATCGTTCCATCGATAAATATTCGTTTAATGTCAAACATTTTCATTTCAATATCGAAATTACTATACGTAACAGTTACATTCTTATGTAGGGATTTTTGTCATAAAAAAACATTAATTTTAATGTGCCATACATATAATCCCGTTGCCGCGTCGACTGTCTGAATATAAAACGTGTTTTCCTATTTTCCAAGTAAAAAATATATGTCAATTACATTTCTTAATGATGCAACAAGCATAAACTATATTCATTATTCGTAAGTAAAATGTTATTAACATTGAGTCAGTTGTTGTGGTGCGCGCGTGAGCTTATGCCTTGCGCTCTGTTCGCATTTGCAATGAAATGTTGTACGGTGCAGACAATAAAGATGAACAACAACAAGAGATCAACAAGGTGATGTGTACGTAGATCGTATTGGAAAGAAAGCGACTAAGAAAACACCAAGCAAACAAACGAGAGAAAAAAAAAAACAACTCGCACAAACACATTGTGAAGTAGAAATAAAATGTTGAAAGAGTCAGAGTGAGATGGAAACGAAAGAAAAACACAGAAATAAGTATGTAAGTGTTGTGCAAATGATAGAAAGCACATAACACGATCGAAAAAGAAATGCGCGAATGCAGCATACGAGAGAATTGATTAAAAGAATATGAACACACGACGAAAGAGAAAGAAAGAACGACAAGAACAGCTAGCACTGCGACTATGGTAAGAACAAATTCATCAGGTACCGATCGTGAACGAATAATAATAACAACAACAACAACGTAACATGCACACAACAACAATGTTTCGAACGATCTCCCGTGGGCTTGGATTTATTTATTCGTATGAGTGTTAGTGAGTGTATGTGAACGGGAGTGTGTTATTCTTGAGCGTTCTCTTCATTCTCTTCTCGCACATCGACAACACAATATATAGGTAGTACGTTAAACTTTGACTAAAAATTTACCGCTATAAAATGTTCGGGTCAACGAACGTACTCGGGCCGATATTTTATGTATTCTCTCTTGCTTGTATCGAGGCAACATGTATTAACATGCGCTCATGCACGGAACATACACTTACAAACACACACCATCAGCTCAGCTGCTGCTGCTCTACTGTAATGACGGCATTCAAACCATCGAGAAAAGATATGATGAAGAGAACGAAAGATGTTGTAATAACGGCGTTCAACGCACGACACACTCGGTAGAAATACATTTTTTTACGTGCGTTCTGTTCTCGCGTCGTTCGATGTATTCAGTTGCTGATGTTGTTCATTTCGGCTGTGTGTCCCTATGATGTATCATTGTGAACGAATGATAACGAGATTGATAACAAACAGATCTCGTTTCAAGAACATTTTCGAATGGTATTATTTTCTTCTTCTACCTTGTTGGTCGACGTTCTCGATGCAAAACAAGCACTTTGCACATAATGCCGTTTATTTATGAAACAGAACATAAAAAAAAACGTTCGGTGAAATTGTTTTGTATTTGGACGGTGCACATACCACACGTACAGTAATAATTTAAATATTTCCATGAGTCGTTTATTTTCGGCAAATGACACATGCCCAATTCAATTGCAAAGAACCGTTTACCCACATTTTTGTCATCATCATCATCGTCGTCGTCGCAGTTGCTGTCTCAACACTAGCGGCACAATACACACAACGTGCACACAATCTCGATTTCAATTTACAAAATAATACTTTCGATGAAGATTCTCTGCAGCGAAATACGTACAATCAGAACAACCAAATGAAGAGTTACCGTTAGTTACCGAATTATAAAAAAAGAGTATCTTTGTACATACCACAGGTCAATAGCTTTTAATACACGACCAAAACACCATCGGACGGTTCTCGATTGAACAGAAGACAGAACCAAAGACAAAAAAAAGAACGGTGATTATGAAACACTTCGACATTTTTTCGGTAGGAGAATCCATAATGAATGATCACGATCAACAATGAGAGAAGGAGAACAAGATGTACTAAAGTAGAAAAAAAAAATCTGAATAAAGAGACAAAATCGGTTTTTGGTTTTTAATTGCTGTGACGAATGAACCATTGATCGATCGCTCTTTGAATGTATTTCTGAAAGAGCTATCCAAGAAAGAGGGATGCCACCATGAAATTATATTCGAAAAATGATTATGTTTATTTTATTTGGAATTGATTTTGAATGTTGTCGATTAATTTTCGACAACGTCTTTTTCTCGTTTTCAAAGCATATATACATATTCTCATAGAAAAAAGGTGAACGTTTCTTTTTTTTTCTCTCGAAAATATGTGGTTCCCTTTCAATGGCGCAAACGCCTTCGTTGTGGAATTATTTATGCAAACGGTGTGTGTTGCGCCAAACCAATTGTGTAAGTATATGAGGGTATTGCAAAGACATTTTCGGCATCCAAATATTTAAAAACGCTTGCAATCCAATATTTGCTTACTTTACTCGGTGAAGAGTGAAAAAACTCGTGCACGTATGTTCTGCTCGGTTCTACTCACATTTGCATATTGAGTGTACAGTAAACCAAAAAACGAATTATCATTCCCCAAAACAAAAAGAAAACCAAACCCACAGGCTAGTATTGTACTTAACGAGAATAAATGAATTTATTTCGATTGCATAATACTCGATATTTTTTTTTTCGACAAAAGGCGATAAAATATACTAGCAAAACTGAATTGCCAGCATTTAATAAAAATAAAAAGAAGAAATATCGTTTCGTCAAAATGCCATCAAATCAAATGTATTAAAATGAAGTAGTGAAAAAAAATAATGAAATTATATATGCATACAGAGAAGCAGGTATGAGTACTTAAAAGACTTGTTATGTATGGTGCTGTGGGGAATTCGTTCGTCGTGATGATTTTATGTGTCGAACTCTTTGCGTGTGAGTTCGTTTTTTTTCTTAATATTTTTTTTTTTTTGGTGTATCCAAATATTGAACGCATACCGACGACGAACCATCAATCGCATATGTGTTTGTGTGAATCACATTCATTAAAGTTTCTACGGCAACGAAATGAGAAACAAATCAACGTGCTGATTGACCATGTGTATTTTCATTTGATGTGCCTCTCTCTCTCTGTGTG